CCCTCTGCCTGCCACTCCCCCTGCTTGTGCTCTCTCTCTCTGTCAAATAAATAAATGAATAAATGAAATCTTAAAAAAAAAAAAGGCTTTTTGCCCTGACTCCTGGCCTTATCCTTGGATACCGCACAGTCTGCGCGCAGAGCTTCCCTGCAGGCCAGATGCCTTCATCTCACTGGGCTCTGGGACCCTAGCTGCCGGGTGGCTCTTTGTCATTGTATTGGGCAGCCATGATCAGAGCTCCACCCTCAAGGGACCAGTGGTCATACTGTCCTCCTTTCTCTCCTTTCTCTCTAGCTGCTCCTTGGCAGGCTCACCCCCTACAAGCTGCCCATTAACATAGCTGTCCTGCAGGTTGGGCCCCAGGCATGCTCCTCTCCTCTCCATTCTCTCCTTGCTTGATCACTTCCACCTTCAGGCCCCAATTCCTATCTCTCTGCCACATTTACATCTCCAGCCTGGACCTCTTCCTGAGCTAGATATTTATGTCCAACTGTCCCCTTGACTACTCCACCTGGAAGCCCACAGTATCTCAAAATCACCTCGTCGGCAGCAACTCTTCCCCTGTACAAACCAGGTGCATGAGCCAGAGGACTGGCAATTACCCCCACCTCCCCTCCCCCACCCACCATACCCAGGCCAGCAGCAAATCAAATTTTTTTTTGTTTTATTTAAATTAAAGTTAGTTCACATATAGCAAATCAATTTTGCCTCCAAAAACAATCCCAGAAGCTATCTTCTGCCCAGGTTCAACTGTAGCAACCTGATGAAAATGCTGTCATCCCTCACCTTGACCACTGCAGCTGCCTCCAGTCTTGTCCACCTGCAGCCACTCTGGTTCCTCTGTAATTCCTTCCCCATAAAAGGCAGGGTGCAAGTGTGAACCTGCCTCTTCCCTGCCTACAGTGCTCTAAGGGCTTCCCGTTGTTCCGAAAGATAAAACTCCTCACTGTGACCCATGAGCCCAAACACAGCTGGCCCCTGCCCCTCTGGCGTCTTCAACCTCACCGCTCCTTGAACTCTGTATATCCAAAGGTCTTCTCCCTCCTGCTGCGAGACCTTTGCACCTGCTCTTTCCCTCCACCTGATCAATGTCCATTCTCTGGGTCTGCAAGCACTTCCTGACCCCGGGGGAAACTTCCCCTGACTGACCCCTAGTACAAACTCTTTCTTTGCACTTGTTCACTGCAGGTTTATGCTTGTTTGTGGGATGATCTGACTAGCGTCTGTCTTCCCCATTTGACTGTCAGCTCCACAGGGCAGGAACCATCATCATGGAGTTCCCCACTGAATGAAGGAATGACTGCCTATTATACTGAATTGTTCTGGGGCAGAATTTGTTTGACATAATTCACAACCTCCTTTAGGGAAGAAATTATCATTCCTGAAAAATGGTTGGACAATTTTCTGGTCCATTTCAATGAGAGTGACCCTCTTCTGGGAAACCCCCTGTGGTGTTCAGGGACCAAAAAAATTTTTTTTAATCAAACCATTTTATTGAGGGGCTTCCCGGAAAGGTCGAGGAGGAGGAGGACAGGGAGGGAGATCCGACGTCCTCGGCCCGGCCGGAATCTTTCCGGCCTCACAGTCGTCGAAAGGGACCGAATAATTTTTAACCAGACATTTCTTCATTGGACCGCGTATTTTTTTTCTTTTGTTAGGTAACTATCAAGAAGAAATTGTCTTAGGGTTCTTTTCTTGTAGAAAAGTTTGAATAAAAACATTGAAACCGCGTATATAGCCAAAATGCGTTTTTGTTAATAATACAGAAGCACACGCAATAATTTGCGAGAAACTGGAATCCCAAGGCCTTTCAATTTCGCAGTTCTAAAAATTTTCACGATTAGCGTGACCGACACGCCCCTTAGTCTCTCCCACCACGACGCCCCCTGGTGCCAGTAGCCCAGACTCACAGGACCAGAGCAGGGCGGAGCGAAGACTACAACTCCCATAAGGGTCAGGGCTTTTAGTGACGTCACTACGGGGGCGCGGGCGGGCCTCGAAACGCACAGCTCTCCCATTGGTGGACTGTTGCAAGCGCCTGCGCATTTGGCACAGTCCCGCCCCCACCGACTCCCGACGCTGTTACGTACCTGCGTCGCCCGAGCGGTCCTGGGATAGCGATGGAGACGCCCGGAGCATCGTCCCGGGTCCTGTCGCTTCCTGCCGCGTCCGGGCCCCGGAGGAAGCGCGCGGCAGGGGAGGCCCGGGCTGCGACGAGCAAGCAACGGGTCCTGGACGAAGAAGAGTACATCGAGGTAAGACCTCGATGCGACGCTAGCGAATTCTGGGTCCCTTCCCCGCCTTGCGCTCTTCTCGGGTCTCTCCTCTCGGGTCGTGGCAGACTCGTACCCTCGCGGAGGTGGAGCAACCCGAGTGCGTGCTCTTGGGTTGTGGACGGTCGGGGAGCCAAACAAATACTGTGCAGAGAGAGGTGTCCTTGATGGGGGAGGCAGCAACAGTGCTGTTAGGGGAGAGAGGGGGCGGCTTTGTTTGTATGTCGGGGGGTGGGGCGCGTCAGGGAAACAAGGTATTAAAGCGTGAAGAGGCGTGTGGGAGGATGGTGGCAAAGAGGACTTTCTAGAGAGTTGTAACAGCAAATGCAGAGGCTGGAGGTCTTGGAAACAGTCTATGATTGTGTCAGCATCATTGAGTTAGTGCGCGTCAGAGGATCCTTCAAGTAGGTTTTAATACTACAACAGACATGCAGGAAGAGGAGCTGGCAGGGAGATTGAAGAAAATCAGTTTGGTTTTGGACTGGTAAAGTTTGGGAGGCCTCGGATAGAGAGGCAGCTGGCATTAGGGGATAGCTGGGTACACAGATGTGCAGCTTAGGAGCAAGGTCTGGCTGGAGGTACAGACTTGGGAATCTCAGCCAGTGCTGCTGGTGGGGGTGACAGGCTGAAGTCATCCAGGTAAAGGGTTCCGATTGGAAATAGGAGGCCTTGGATGGCATGAAGGGGCAACACCCACCTTGGTCCAGCTGGTGTGGAGATGGAGCCAGCAAAGGAGATGAGAGGGACCAGTTAGTGGGGGGAAAAAGAAAAGTTTCATGGAAACCAGATGAGCGTTTAGTAATGTTAGATGTTGAAGCAAGATCTCAGGGGGTGCTCATCCTCATTAGAAAGTGCAGCTAAACTCGGGATCATTGGGTTGGACAGAGGTTGGGGGCATCGGCAAGGATCTTAGCATGTACATTGGTAGACTGAGAGCAGAGGCAGATGTGAACTCTGTCTTTTATTCTGACTTCTGATAGGGCCTCCAGACAGTCATCCAGAGGGACTTCTTTCCTGATGTGGAGAAGCTGCAGGCTCAGAAGGAGTATCTGGAGGCTGAGGAGAATGGAGACCTGGAACGGATGCGTCAGATCGCCATCAAGTTTGGCTCTGCCCTGGGCAAGATGTCCCGAGAGCCCCCACCACCCTGTAAGAGCGACAGTGGTGGACCGAGAGGGGAACTCCTGCTGAACTGATGCCTTAGGCTGACTCTAATCCCCACCCCCTTCCTCCTTCTAGATGTGACTCCAGCCACATTTGAAACCCCTGATGTGCACACAGGCACCGGAGTGGTGGGCAACAAGCCCCGGGGCCGGGGCCGAGGCCTGGAGGAGGGTGATGGTGAGTGAGCGGCTGGGTTTGCCTGCGAGTCTCATCCTGTGTGGCCCTGAGGGGCTGGCCCAGAGGCAGATCACATCTTGTCCCTGAGGGCTCTGTTTGCCTGAATGGCAGCCCATGGGGTCAAAGAGCACCGGTCTGGGAGGCAGGCATGGGGCAGTTCTCTGAGCCTCTGGCCCTCCTCTGGAATGGGAATCTCGCTACCTCTCTCACCGGCCTGCTCACTGTGTGCCAGCCCCTGCCCAGTGAGCTTCATGGGCCTCGGAGGGCCCCTTTCCCGATGTCATCTTAGAATGCCTCGGGGCTTCTGCACTTGTTTAGTGAGTTAGTCACTTCCCCTGGATAGCTGCACGGCTCACACCTTCTCTCCCCTCAGACCTCTGCTCAGATGTTACCATTCAGGAAACCCTTTTCTGACCCCTTCTCACCACCCCCAGCATGCCTTCCTGCCTGGCTTTGTTTTCTCGCTGTAGGACCTGGCACTTAAAAAGGCGTTTTTTGGGGTTTTTTTTAAAGATTTTATTTATTTATTTGACAGAGAGAGAGAGCACAAACAGGGAGAGTGGCAGGCAGAGGGAGAGGGAGAAGCAGGCTTCCCACAGAGCAAGGGAAGCCCGATGTAGGACTCGATCCCAGGACCCCAGGATCATGACCTGAGCCGAAGGCAGTCGCTTAACCAACGGAGCCACCCAGGCGCCCCAAAAGACATTTCTCTATTTTTTGCCTCTCCTCACCACGAGAGCTTCTCTCTCTTGCTTCTGTGTGTATATTCTGCACCTAGGACAGCACATGGCATGTTGTGGGAGTAGAACAAACAAACAGGTTGTCTTCTTCCACACATGGATTGGGGTGTCATGACATGGTCCAGCTTTATGAGGGAATCTTTCTAGGAAAGAGCATTTTGAGCCCTGTTGGACATAAGTGTACTACGTGCAGTGGGACTTTCTCACGATCAGCGGTCGATCTCATCAGTAGAACATCAGTGCTCAAACAGACAAGATGCTTGTTGTTCTCTCCTGGGTCCTAGTCTATGGCATGCTAACACAGATGCCCTGTGTGCTCACACAGACGAGATATTTTCTGCTTCAAAATGCAGCTCATTGTGGCATTACTGTAGTCCATCGTGATGTGTCTTTGGAGCTTGATCAGGGGAGCTTGATCGCAGCTCCAGTGTAATGTGGCAGATGAATCACAAGCAGTTTACAGATTCTTGTTATTTATTTATGTATCAAAATTTTACTTTATTTGAGAGAGCAAGCGCGTGTGCAAGTGGGGGGAGGGGCAGAGGGAGCGAGAGAATCTCAAGTGGACTCTGTGCGGAGCGCAAAGCCCGACACAGGGCTCGATCTCACGACCTTGAGATCACGACCTGGGCCAAAATCAAGAGTCAGATGCTTAACTGACTGAGCCACCCAGGCGCCCCTCAGATTTTTTTTTTTAAATATGCCTTGTTGGTAAATCTAGGAATCGTTTCAGTAATCTCAGTGGTAGGTACCATCAGAACGGGGTTTGAGTCCTTAATCTTTCTGACTCTGGGTCTTGATTAGCCACTGTGCTTTGTGCAGTCTAGCAGGTCGTAGGCGGTCAAGACTGTCAGTGGAATGGAAGACAAGGCTATCCTTCTGGTGGCCCCGCTGAAGGGGGCCCCACTGTGCACAGTGCAATGGCACCCCTTCAGCGGGGGTACCCCCTTCTTTTTTTTTTTTTTTTTAAAGATTTTATTTATTTATTTGACAGAGAGAGACAGCCAGAGAGGGAACACAAGCAGGGGGAGTGGGAGAGGGAGAAGCAGGCTTCCCGCCGAGCAGGGAGCCCGACGCGGGGCTCGATCCCAGGACCCTGGGATCATGACCTGAGCCAAAGGCAGATGCTTAACGACTGAGCCACCCAGGCGCCCCGGGGGTACACCCTTCTATGGTGGTGGGGCGACAGCTGGCGTTGTGACCCAGTGCCTGTGTGGCCCCATCTGGAGCACTGGATCCTCCGGGGTCCCTGCCCTCGGAGCCTGCTAGCAGGTTGGGAGGCTTAGGTGACAGCCTCCCCCTGTGGCACAGGCGCCAGGAAGGGAGGAGCAGGCAGGGAAGGAAAGCCCAGGTATGGAGGGAGAGCTTGGGGCATCGGCGAAAGGTCCTACAGGACCGGCCCAGTTTTGGCAGGGCAAGGCTTACTAGGACCATCTGCCTTTTCTCTCACCTCTGGATGCCCCTCTTCCTGAGTCAGACACACATTTCACTTGACATCCAGCAGCTGAGGAGAGCCCCTGAGTGCTCCCTGGGCAGTGGGGTGGGGGGGGGGTGATTCTGCCCCCAGGTGGGGAGTTGTCTGGCAGTGTGGGCTCTCACCCACAGATGCACAACCAGGGTGGGGGTTCCAACCCTGCTTATGGAGTAGCACGGTTCCTGGGACTGAGTGACCACAAAGTGTTCATGCTGTTTGTGGTTCCGTGTCACTCCACCTCTGCCCCTGAGCAGGAGAGGTTGGCGAGGAGGAAGAGAAGGTGCCCCTGCCCAGCCTGGATGTTTTCCTGAGCCGGTACACAAGTGAGGACAACGCCTCCTTCCAGGAGATCATGGAGGTGGCCAAGGAGAAGAGCCGGGCACGCCACACGTGGCTCTACCAGGCCGAGGAGGAGTTTGAGAAGGTGTCCTTGGGTGCAGCAGCACGGGCATCCTCTGTCAGGGTGAGGGAGTCCTGGGGCCAGGGGCACAGTGCCTGGGGACCTCTCTGACCCTCACTTTCCCCCTGTGATGCAGAGGCAGAAAGATAATCTTGCACTTCCGTCGGCAGAGCACCAAGCCATCGAGAGCAGCCAGGCCGGCGTGGAGACCTGGAAGTACAAAGCGAAAAATTCCCTCATGTACTACCCAGAGGGTGAGCGGGCGGGGCTGGTGGGCAGCATGGGGTGGGGCCGGGTGTTTGGATCTGGCCTTCAGGGTGTGTATATCTGTGCTCCCTGGCATACCAGGCCTCCGAGGGGTCCTGCTCTGCCTCTGTCAGTGAGGGAGTGAGGCTGCCCCCTGCTTTGCCTGGCTTCATGCTTCTGTTCACCGGGGGATGACTTGGCCTCTCCCTCAAGCCTTGAGCATGGGGCGGTGGTGGGGCCTCCCCACCCTCTGACACCGCTGCCATCTCTCCTCGATCCGCCAGGTGTCCCTGATGAAGAGCAGTTGTTTAAGAAGCCGAGGCAGGTGGTGCATAAGAATACTCGCTTCCTCAGGGATCCCTTCAGCCAGGCCCTGAGCAGGTCCCAACTGCAGCAGGCTGCCGCCCTCAATGCCCAGGTGAGTGGCCGCGGCTGGCTGTGGGCAGCCACCACCCCTCTGATCTTGCTTTCCTTTCTTAAATTAGTACGTTCTTGGGTTTGGCGGAGCCTAGCATCATGTGAGTATTTGGGGCTCCTGGGCGGCAGGGTCCTGAGTCTTTTCTTGACCTGTATGGGCTTCCACTGGGGCACTGTCTTGGCCAGAGACGTTCTGTGGGTCAGTTCAGTGCCAGCTTCCTGGCGGACAGGGACATGAGAGAAGAGAGGCTGCTGGGAGCCAGCCCAGGCTGGCCAGACCCACACCCATTCGCCGAGCAGGGCAGGGGTAGATGGGGTGGGTAGGCTGGGGTAGGGTGAGGCTTGGTAGGGCAGACAGCAGGGATGTCTGAGCTGGGGAGTCACGGTGCAGTGGCAACTCCAGTGGTCATGGGGTTAAAGTGGGAGAGGCAGGAGGTGGGGAGACTATTCCGGTGGCTTCTGCAAGTGCCTTGCGGGAAAGAGGTCAGAGCACATGTGCCAGTGGTCAGTGTGGCTTCCTGTCAGGGCCTAAGTCAGTAGCTGCTGAAAGCAGTTTGTGTGGGGTGTGGACTGAGGCCAAGGACCCCGGCCCTGCCCTGCATGGAAGGAGGGGGAGCTTCCCTTGCTCTGATGCCTGCTCTGACAGGTCCTCAAGGTCTTTGCAGGGGCCGGGGTCCTTCCTTTCTTTCTCCAGCCCCCAAGCTCTGGGTCTGGATTTGCCAGGGAGGGGAAGGTTTGCCAGCATGTTCCTGTGCATTTGCCCATCAGCTAGCTGGGGGGTAGGTGGCTTGGGCCCCCCTGACACCAGTCTCTCTTGTTTGTTCTAGCACAAACAGGGCAAGGTAGGCCCTGACGGCAAGGAGCTGATCCCCCAGGATTCCCCACGAGTGGGCGGATTTGGATTTGTTGCAACCCCCTCTCCTGCCCCTGGTGAGACGTGAACCTGCTGGCAGGCGGGCCCCCTGATGGGACTGCTCAGGTGGCTCTGGGCACTGTTGACACTTCGCCGTGTCTGCCACATGCCTCGTGGGACTCGGGGACCCCGTGTCCCACCTGTGCAATGTCAGGGCTGAATGGGGCTGTGGCGGGGCTGGACTCTCAGGTAGGGCTGACCTGAGATGCATGGGGCCCAGCCCATTGAGTTGGGCAGTCTTCTCGCCTTGCCCTGAGCTTGGCAGCACAGACTGGCTTTGCTGGGAACCAGGGGTGTTGGGGCTCTGCTGGACAGATGGGCTATGGTGAGCATGCTGAAGGGCACAGGGGGAGGCCAGGCAGGGGGAGGCTGGGCATAGGGGCATAGGGAAGAGGCTCTGGGCTCCAGCCCTGCATGCCCTCACACAGGAGGTTTATGAGTCTTGGGGACAATCTCACGGTGCAGCGGTGCATGTGGTGTCCTTCCCCCCGCACCCTCCACCCCGAGCACTGGCCTCTGTGTTGGGCTACTGGTTCCTGTGACACAGGCCAGGGTATATGGAGGCACTACAGGTTTACCCAGGGTCCTGGGAGGTTTGGGTGCTCTAAAAGCCCCCTGGGTGTCCCCTCCTTTGGGGTGGGGTGCCATAGCAACCTCCTGGAGGCCCTGGTGGCCATGTGCTAGGACGGGAGCCTAGCTGAGCCAGCCCAGCTTCTCTGGGGAGCCCCCTTCCCGGGCTAAGCCCCACAGCTGTCAGGGCCCAGGCCTGCTTTGGGCCTAAAGTAGCCTTAGTATTGTCTTCTCAGAGGACAGAGGAGCTGGGGTTCCAGAGTCCCAGGGAAGGAGAGTGGGCCAGCTGCCAGCCTTCGTGTTTGTTAGCTGGGACATGCATGGTGGGAGCTGGCTGTCATAGGAGGGAGGACCTGGCAGTGCCCTCACCTGCATCCCCTGGCCTAAGGTGACTGAGCTCTCCATCTGCAGGTGTGAACGAGTCGCCGCTGATGACCTGGGGGGAAGTTGAAAACACTCCCTTGAGAGTTGAAGGATCTGAAACCCCCTACGTGGACAGGACGCCAGGGCCAGCCTTCAAGGTGGGTCATGGTGAGGGGAGCTCACATGGGACCCTGAGTAGACACATGGCCTTCGGAGCACTTGTAGCTCGATGCACAGAGGATGGTCTAGCTGCCGCTGGTCAAAACAGAACCACCTGAGGGGTTAAGCCGTGCTCCAGGCTGCACACCTGCGCATCACTGCACTTCTGAAGAAGACCAGGGCACTGAGGACAGGTGTTGGGGGGGAGGGAGGAACTTGGGCGTGGGGCCAGGGCACCAAAGCCATGGCCCTCTGAGCCTGCAGGCTGGTGGGCCGGGAAGGGCCCTGGAGCCCCAGTGTTCCGTGGGCTGTGGTTTGTGGTTTGTGTCTTCAGAAGGATTGTGTGCTTGCAGAGGGAGGCCTCTGGTTACAGGAGAGCATGCATCGAGAGGCAGCAGTTTTATAGAAGTTGTCAGAGGGTGGGTCGTGAGACCTGGAGCAGGTAGGGCAGGGAAGCTGGCTGCCAGGTGGTTTGTGGAGATGGGGTAGTCTAGGATGACCCCAGAGAGGCTTTGAGAAGGCAAGGCACTGTGGTCTGCGTGGTTTATTGGGGAAACTGAGTGACTGGCGTAGTTTGGAACAGGAAGGAAGAGAAGTCGCTGGAAGCTGAGAGCATGCAGTCCTGTTCTCAGGGTGCTGGGCCAGCACTCCCAACTTGGAGTGCTAGGAAATTGTAGGAGGTAGAGGTCAGTGTTGTTGCAGAGAGCAAAGGGCATGGGGTAACATCATCTGCTTGAAACCCCAAGGAGTCGGGCATGGAACCTGGAATTAATGTAGGTCTGTTGCATGGGGAGCTAGGTTCGAGGTTGTCTTGAACCAATCCCTCTAAACGCTTGCAGCGTATAGTTTGAAATGCAACAGAAAAAGAGATCTCACTCACTGTAGCAGCAGAAATTTAGAACACCTAACAATACCTTAGCTTTTGTGAAGAAACCAAAGGCTAGTGCTGCAGGCTCGCCTAAGGAAAACCGGAGGGTGTGGGCCACACCATGGGGCCTCCCCGGTACAGTACCACTCTCGTTCTGGGAGGAAACGCATGTCCACACAACGTGTGCAGATGATTTTGGCACCTTGGTTCTTAAATTTGTCTGGGACATGAGGATAACCAAGAAAAACCGGAGAGAGGAGTGCCGGCAGGCGTCTGGGCATGCCGCAGGTACGGGGTTGCCAGAAGTCTGCCCCGGTCCTGGGGCCTACCAGGCAGCAGGGAAGAGCTTCTGAACAAAACCTCAGTCCAAATCTGAATTCAGGGTACGTGAGAGACGACAGTTCAAATTGTGCTGAGCAGTAGAGTATTTGGATATAAAGTGCCTGATACATGTTGCAGAACGAGTTCCTCAAGGGGAAGGGTTAAGTATAGAAAACAAAGTGTAAACAATGAAAAGAAAATCACAGTCACCGCTTAACCTGGCATTAAGGTAGGAAGGGATAAAGCGAAGAGAGCCGGTCACAAAGGAAGCAGGGGGTGGATGATACCATACGAAGCGGTGGACTTAAGTACAGCAGAAAAGCCCGTCGTAAATAACACTGAAAGCAAGTAATTGAGAAGGCGTTTGCATGGCAGAGCTTAACGTAACTGGGGGGAAGCTGGAAGGAAACAGACGAGCACTTGGATAGAAAAATAGGACAAGGACCCATTTCAGGAAGTTTTGGAAAGAAATACAGAAGGTCGATGGAGGTTAAAGTCAGCAAACGGTTTACTCCAGTCATCAGAGGGAAGCAGATTCAAACAAGACCCCCTTCTTCCCTAGAAGACTGTCGGAGGTTCATAAGTCGGCAGTGCTGGCTTGCAGGGAACTGTGATGACAGGTGGGAGGCCCAGGCCCTTGGCGGGTGGGCAGTTCAGGTGAGCCGGTCAGGGGCTTTTGGGGGCTTTTAGGGAGGCGGCAGTGGGTTGTGAGGATCACGGGGAGCCACGGGAAAGAGGCAGGTGCCGCAGCAGCAAGGGACTGGCTGGCTCGGTGGCAAGCCACCCACACACCTGCTGCCTTGTAGATCCTGGAGCCTGGCCGCAGGGAACGGCTGGGGCTGAAGATGGCCAACGAGGCCGCCGCCAAGAACCGAGCCAAGAAGCAAGAGGCCTTAAGGAGAGTGACGGAGAACCTGGCCAGGTGAGGAGTGCCTGACCCGCACAGGTGGGGGTCTCTCCCTGTTCCCATTTGGCCTGGGGGTTCTGTGGTGGGTCCTGTGGCAGCTCCTCTGGTCCGGACGTGGCCTGTATGAACCAGGATGCAGGGCCCCTCTCCGTCTTTTCCTTCTTCAACCATCTCCTTAGCACATCCCTAAGAGGCACCTTTGGGCCCCTTGTCCCGCTGTAAGCTCCTGTCAGCCCTGTGGAAACAGGTGTATTGTTCTCCTTGGAGAGAGTTGGGGTCCATCCCAGCTCCACATCCAAGGGCAGCACCACCACTTGACCTTAAGTTTGGCTCCACAGCTGTGTGCCAGGCCATCGGGTGTCCTCAGCCCATAATGACCACGCATCTCCCATGTTATCTTTGTGGGGCCGTGGGAAGCCCCACTGCTGGCAGTGCCTGGTTGGGCCTAATGGTGCCTCTTTCACCCACCCCCTTCCACCCCAGCCTCACCCCCAAAGGCCTGAGCCCAGCCATGTCCCCAGCCCTGCAGCGCCTTGTGAGCAGGACGGCCAGCAAGTACACAGACCGGGCCCTGCGGGCCAGCTACACCCCATCTCCAGCACGCTCGACCCACCTCAAGACCCCAGCTGGTGGGCCTCAGACCCCCACGAGCACACCGGCTCCTGGCTCTGCGGCACGCACCCCCCTCAGCCAGGACCCAGCCTCCATCACGGACAACCTGCTGCAGCTCCCTGCCCGGCGCAAAGCCTCAGACTTCTTCTAGGGTCAGGCCCGGGCCAGGCCTACGGAAGCTCCACTCGGCAGAGGACTCCGGCCTTCTGGGGACCCAGGCCCGGGCCAGAAATGGTGACTGTCCCAGGAGCCACCGAAAAGAGGCCCGCTGGCACGAGACTTGCCCCCACGGCCCTCAGGGTATATCCCAGGGCCTTGTTGATACTGTTTTCTATATAACCCCTGCCTGTTTCTATCTAGTTGTGATTAAAGAGCACGTAAGCACAGTCTGGCAGGACCGTCTCTCCGGCCCACGCCGCACGGCCCTCAGGCTGCCCTCGTGCCCACATCAAGGTCTCAGGACTGCAGGCCTCCCTGGGAGGAAGCTTCTGGGTGAGGTGAACTTGGAAGTTCAGGGTCTCTGGGCTTTCCTGCCACTCCCTGCATTGCTTTCTGTGGCCCCCCTGGGGCTTGGAACCTGCCTTCTGCACTGAGCTCACAGCACATTGGGCCCTGCCCCCCAAGTTCTGTCCCCCTGATGGAAGGAGAGAGCCCTTGGAAGTTGTGCCCCTCAGGTTCCCCTGGCGCTCTGGGTCCAGGCCCAGAGCCTCACCAGCTGGGCCTAGCCCACGTGGTTTGCTGGTGACAGGGTTGTGTGGGTCCTATGTGTCAGACAACACATCACGTGTGGCACCTTCAAAGTGGCCTCAGAATCACCTTCTCCAAGCACCTGGTCTCCAGCTCAGGTGGGGCGGAACTGTCTCACTTCCTGCCTTTCCCTCTCCCAGTGCTCCAGGCACCACCTTCCATACTCAGCTGAGTCACCAGCAGGAGTCGTGGGTAACAGTAACCTGGGCCACAGTGTCAAAAAGCAATGGGGCCAGGCTCTATGCAGACCGGAGAGTGTCACGTACACCACAGGCCACACTTGCCCATGACCTTGAGGGCTTTGGTGACATGGGATATCCAAGCTGGCTTCCAGATGGGTCTCTTCCGGCCTTAAGTGGGGTCAGGTCGGATCCTCTGAGGGGCTTGCACTGCCCAAGGAGACAGCCTGGAATCTGCTCAGACCAGAGTCTTTCTTGTTTTGAGCATACCTGGCCCTGCCCTGGCTTGGGTATGTCTTGGGTTGTCCTGCATGTTTCCTCGCCCCCTCCATGAGTGCCGTGTTCCCTGCAGGCTGGCTTGGGGCCAGTCATCTGCCTAGGCACCCACTACTCTGTGCTCGACTGTGAGTTCCTGCCAGTTTCCAGGGGGCCAAGCCCCAGCCAAGCCCTGTAACTCACCAGGGGGCTGGGACTGGGCTCAGCGGGTGGGACCAGGACCAGGACCGCCCCAGGGGGTCAGGAAAAGTGTGGCCTTTGGTGCTTTTCCCCCATAGGGAAGGGGGGGCGTGGGCCAGAGCAGCATGAAGGCAGAGAGGTCTGAGTGGGTGTATGATGGGGAGGGAGACGCTGTCCAGGCAAGGCCGCTTAAGGCCAAGCGCTGGCCCCCCTGAGCGCTGGCTGGTGTATGGGGTGGATAGGAAAGGGTGGGGAGGGCGTGGGTGAGAGGTCTGGGCTGGGGCTGTTCTGGCAAATGAAAGGGCACTCAAGGGGCCAAGGCCACTGATCTCAACTGCAGGAATGGAGGGAGCGGAGTACATGGAGAAAGGGGCTGTCGGAGGGAGCGGGATGGGGTCGGGGTCGGGGTCAGGGTGGGCTGTGCTGTGCCTGAGCTGGAGAGACACGTGCAGCTGGCCAGCCCTGGAGGCTCTGGGCCCGGGGTGGGTCAGAGGGAGACTGTGGGGGCTTGGCTGTGGGCTGCGGCTGAGGTCTTCTTGCCCACAGGGCCTCGCCAGGAGTCTGCCCGTGCCGAGCACCAGTCCTTGCATCCTTATGCTGGAGACCCCTGCACCGCAGGGAGGGTGGTTGGCTGAGTCCTAGAGAAAAAGACTCCTCACGGGGCACTCTTGATGCTTGTATACACTTTGTGGTTTATTTGGTGGTCAGTAATTAATGTCTTTGTTGAGTGAAAGAAAGCTAATAGAACGTAATCAAAATAGTGGTCTAATTGACGGATTTTACTTGTTCCTTGCACCTGTGCCTTCTTCAGCTCCTACTGCCTATTTAGTTTATGTGGGTGCACACCAAGCACCACGCCCCCCAGGCCCTCAGCACCGCTAGGTGCTCGCTTTCCCCACCTCAGTTCCAGTGACATGATGATCTTTTGCCTTGGAGGTCTCGGCCAGCCTGTCCTCCATCCTGTCCTCGTTCTCGGGCACCACCAGCAGCCGGTGCTGGGTTTTGGCCCCCAGCTTGTCCGGCCGGTGCTCAGGCCGGTGCTCGGGCCGCGAGCCTGGCCGGGTGTCCGGTTTGCACTCGGTCCGGTACTTGCCCTCACCCTCCTTCTTGAAGGAGGCAGAAGACATGGCTTTGGGCTTGGGGGGCTGCAGCCACGAGTGGCTGAGGATCTCATCGATGTGTAGCCGCCGGTTGACGTCCGGCTGCAGGATTCGGTAGATGAGGTCCTTGCACTCGCCCGTCAGGTTCTTGGAGCGGGGGAAGTCCACGCGGTGCTCCTTCTGGATGCGCAGCATCTTCTTGATGTCGGAGTCGTCGTAGGGCATGGAGCCACAGACCATGATGTAGAGGATCACGCCCAGGCTCCAGATGTCGTACACCTTGGGCTGGTAGGGGATGCCCTGCAGCACCTCGGGGGCCGCGTATGCCGCCGACCCGCAGAAGGTCTTGCTGAGGATGATGCGGCCACTGCCGTCCCGCAGGCAGCGCTTGGAGAAGCCGAAGTCAGACAGCTTGATGTTGAAGTCCTTGTCAAGGAGGAGGTTCTCGCACTTGAGATCTCGGTGGACGACGTCCAGGTCGTGGCAGTACTTGACGGCGGAGGAGAGCTGGCGGAACATCTTACGAGCCACATCCTCATGCAGCGCCCCCCGACACTTGATGAACTCAAGGAGGTCGCCCTGGACCCCGAGCTCCATGACAATGTAGATGCGCCCATCAGAGGTCTCAAAGATCTCGTAGGTCTTGATGATGGAGCGGTGGTTGACGGTTGCCAGGATGTCCATCTCCCGAGGAAGGAATCTCTCCACGAAGTCGGTGGGCGTCTTCTTGCGGTCGATGATCTTGACTGCCACGTTGAACTTGAGGCGCTCAGAGTAGGCAGATTTGACTTTTGCGTACGAGCCCTTGCCAAGATTGATGCCCACGATGTAACCCTTCTTCCTTAGGACCGCGGCATCGTCCATGGTGCCAGGAGCAGCTAGCGCCGCTGTGCTCTACATCCCCTCCCTACGTGGGCCAGCAGGCATTGTCCTCATTTACACTGTGGGGAGCCGTCTGGCTGGGCTGGGCCTGGACTTGGAGGGGTGGAATGCTCAGCATTGTCCCCGCGTGACTTCAGCATGTGAAGTCATAAAGCCAGCTTGTCGGGAGTAGGGACTGAGCTGGGGGAAATGGGGCCCCTGGAACCCTGGAAGCCAGGCTGGCCTGGCAGGAGGGCCCACTCCCCCCTGCCCACTGGAAGGAAGCCGGCACCCAGAACTGCAGTAACCCTCCCTGCTCCTCCTTCTCTCTGTGGCTTCCTTGTCATGAGTCAGGCCCAAGGGAGGGCCACCCAGGTCAAGCCAGAGTGCCGGCCCCATGCCCATTTCCTTCTCCTGGCTGTGTGGACCCTGCATTGGTCCATGCCCCACTAGGGCCGATTTCCTGCAGCTTCTTTGGGGTGTGAAGAAAACCCTCTCTAGGACTTGTGTCCTTGGAATGGGTGGTGCCTGGGAGGAAGGGCGCTGGTCTGGCCAGCCTTGTGAATGAAGAGCAGCTCCTGTTCAGGGTAGAAGGCTGAGTGCCACTGTGGCAGGCAGGGTGTGTGTGGGGTGGGAGGGCCGGCAGGGCCCTGGGCCCCAGACTGGCAGATGCGTGTTCCAAGGGCTGGGGCCTGCCTGGAGGATGGGCCATGCCTCAGGTAGAGGAGGTGGTGAGGCATCCAGGCAGGGAAGAGCCTGGGAGAGGTGACGGCTTGTCCTGAGAATCGCTGAGTCTTACAGTCTGGAGGGAGGGTGGAGGAGAAGGGAGGTGGTGGGCAGCCATTTCAAGGCCTGGGGCCAGAAGAGTCATGACCCAAGTCACATTTTTTTTTTAAAGATTTTATTTATTTATTTGACAGAGACACAGCGAGAGAGGGAACACAAGCAGGGGGAGTAGGAGAGGGAGAAGCAGGCTTTCTATGGAGCAGGGAGCCCAATGCGGGGCTCGATCCCCGGACCCTGGGATCATGACCTGAGCCAAAGGCAGACGCTTAACGACTGAGCCACCCAGGTGCCCCCCCAAGTCACATTTTAAGATCGTCCCTGACAGAATGCCTAGAGAATGGGCTTCGGGTGAGTGGAGGCCAGTACCCTTGACCAGATGAGAGGAGGCTGGCCCAGGGTGGGCCTGCAGGGACTGGGTGGCAGAGGGAGACAGAGGGTCTGGTGCACTGACCTCTGAGTGGGCAGGGCCTTGGCCAAAGCTTTGGTGCTGGGGGTCCTGGTAAGAGCAGGCTCGGGGATTGGGGGGGGTCCTGAATTATGTCACTCTGGACCTTTGTGAGGAGCAGGCATGTTGTGGCCTGGTGGATCCCTGGCATTTGCATCTCTCAAGCTGTCTTGCACTGAAAGCAATGTGAAAACCCTTTTGTTTTTGCTTTGGGAACTGTGGCATCTTATTTGTGTCTCCTTGGGTACTTTGGAAGCCGTGCTGCTCATCTGTTCTCCATCACAGGCATCCTGTGCCCACATGTGGGCGTGCCATGTGCTCAGTGTTCAGGGGAGAGGGGGAGGAGGAGGCCTGCCTCTGTGTGGGTAGTCGGGAGGGTTGGTGATGGAGGAGCCAGAGTGCAGAGGATCCATAGGGCCCTGCCGGGTTGGTGAGGGGTAGGACATGCCAGGCAGATGTGTGGACCCAGCTGGGGCACATGGGGAGCTCCCTGCATCTGGAGGTTCACGGGGAAGATCTCCGGGGTGGGGTGGCTAGAGTTCAGATGCCAAGTAGGAGTAGACTGCCCTCTAGCAGCCACGGCCTCCCTGAGGCCCGCTCCTGGCTCTTCAGAGCTTCTGTTGCAGTAGCTTTGGCTTGATGCCCGCTCTCTCCTGGGACGTCTCTGGAAGAAATGACCAGAACTTCACTCCTTTGCCTCCCAGAAGGGACTGGCTCTGAGGATTTGCAGGCCAGGACCCAGGAGCATGACAGTCTCCTCTGCCCTTCTCCTGCACTCCCGAATGTTCTATCTGGGGCGCCCCCTGCATGTCTGCCTTTTTGGCTGACTCTGCTGACCCACCCACTTTCCCCTTTTTTGTGGATTCCGCTTCCTCATACTCTGCCCTTGCCTGGAACAGTGTGGCCTCTTTGGTTCTCGGGAACGCGGTAGAGGAGGCACAAGCTGAGCTGCTGGGGTGGCGAGCAGGTGGCTTAACCCAGCATACGCATGCCGAGGCAGGCCCTCCTGGTGTGTCCCTGGTGGGAAGTGTTCCACTGGACCTGGGGCCTCCAGGGGGTACTCCCAGCCTGCAGCCCTGTGCGTGGGAGACCCACGGACTCCGGCAAAGCCACTTCTCTCTGAGTTTCGGTTTCCTCCATTTCTCTACTCACCCTATAGCATTTGAGGGTTGGTTCCAGATGCTGGGGTTCACTGATGAACTAGACAGGACCCATGCCTTCCTGAAGCCCAGAGGACACAGGGAGCTCCCGTGTCACACCAGTGGTGGCTGCGCCATGACACAGGAATGCGGGGCGGTGAGGGAAAAACTGGACTGGGTTTGGGGATGCTGGGAGGGCTGAGGTCTGAGGAGTTAGCTACATGGAGGGGGACGAGGACCTGCTAGAGCTCGTCATGGCTTGAAAGGACAGAGTGGTGGGAGTGTGCAGGGGTGGGACTGTGGAGGCCATGGTGAGGGTCTTGATCCTAAAGCCTTGGGGAAGGTCCCTGACGGGGTCTGAGTCAGGGCTGACCCTGGGAATGGCCCCAGAATGTGAGGCCATCTGGGAAGGAGTGGGCTTCAGTCACCTGGGCTGCCACTCTGTGCTGTGTGATCTCAGGCAGTTGCCCACCCTCTCTGAGCTGTCTCTCCACCTGTAAAGCACACAGAAGATGCTCCTTTGTGGGGCCCCTCCTGCCCAAGGCTTGCCTTCTGGCTAGGCTATAGTGAGTTGCTCCCAGGCCCCTCCTGCTGCATGTTGCCCGCTGTCCCCAATGACCACAAGCCACAGATGACCAAGGCGAGGAGGTTCACGAGCCTCTCCTCAGGATGTCCCCACTCCAGCCACCGGATGATCTGTAGGACGCTGGGTTCCTGGGGCCTCTGGGAAAACTGGGTGGCCCCTCCAGTATTACCCAGGGCCGATTCTGCACCTGGACCTCAGCACTCACAGGCCTGCCCCAGCAGAGCTTATAGTGATGGGCTGCCGAGCTCAGAAGGCTTTGTGGAGGCCATGGCCCCTTGGCTGATCCTGGAGACATGGGTAAGGTCTGCAGGGATGCATCTATGAGCATGATTATGGCACGTGTATGTGGGGGTGTGAGGATGAGGGAGGGGGCTGGGAGGCCAGGAGGAGGCCAGACCTGGGATGCCGAGGCCATGCACTGGGATCCTTCCCGAGGGCAGCGGGATCTGGACTGTATGCAGGAGGGAGGTTCTGGCCACTGGGGGAATCATGGGGCAGGTAGAGGCCTTGAAGGTAGCTGCGCTGCGTGTTCACGACAGACTCCCAGGAGCACGGAGATAGGAAGACATAGAATGTGTGAAGATGGCTGTGGGTAGGGTGGGAGCCAAGTGGAGAGGTGGTGTGGATGTGTGGAGGGGTGCAAAGAGAGTAGGGCCAGGGCACTCACTGGACCTTGCTTCTCCCGGGGCCTGGAGTTGGAGTCTTTCTAAGACACCGACATGGGGTGGGGGGTAAGTCTGAAGGTGCTTGTCCTCTTGATGTGTCAACCCGCAGATCCACATGAGGTTGTCCAGAGTGAGTGCAGAGCAGGAAGAGAAAGGGGCTGCCGTGGCTGAGGTGAGAAGGAACAGCCCGAGAATGACATGGGTGGGCCGCGCAGGGCAGGGCAGCCAGCGATGCTAAATGCAGGGCTGTGCCTTCTAAAGGACACCGATGGCTGCAGGGCACAGGCCTGCATAGTGAGCATACCTGTCCTCTCTCCTCGCCAATGTCTGCTTATCCACTCTGGCATGGAGCATCACCGCTGGGGACAGACTGGGACTAGAGGGGAAAGGGATGTGGTCGAGACCACACAGTGACTGTGGGGCACGTAGGCTGGGTGGGGCTGGGCCATCCAGCGGCCTCCCC